CCGCCGCCGCCATTTTCCCCCGCGCCCGCCGGCCTCGGTCCCGCCCCCTCCCGGCTTCTGTCCGCCGGCGGCGCATGCGCAGTGTGCCCGGGGCGCGCGCCTAGTTTGGCGCGAGGCGGCCGCGGCCCTTCCAGCCTGGCTCCTGTTGGCCTCCCTGCCAGCGGGGAGAGCCAAGGCCTGCACCGCCCTGAAACCAACAGGTTTTCGTAGACTCTGACCTCGCCTCTCGGCTGAGGATGACCTTGAATAGATTCCCTGACCCCAACCATTTCTTCTTCGTCAGTAAAATCGAAATACTGCCCAGCTCCCAAATCTATCGCAGAGTGAAGGCAATGTCATGTTATTGCCCTTAGAATAAAATTCAAGCTGCTAGCTGCGGCCTGCAAAGCCCTGTATAATCCTGTCCCTGCCAGCCGCCCCTGATCTTTACTTTTCTGCCCCTTCTGGTCCCCATGTTTCAGCCACACTAGCCCTCCCATCTGTTCTTTCACACGCCCAACTCCTACTTAAGGGCCTTCTGCTGTATTCATCATTGTAACCCTATGACCAACTCGAAACCTTACACTTGGGTACCTAAATAATTTTTTTTTTAATTTTTAAATTTTAATTTTGTTCAAAATATTACAGATGTCCCTTTTTCTCCCCAATGACCCGTTCCACCCCGTCCCTGTCTCTTATACACATCTAGATGTGTATAAGAGACAGNCCCAATGACCCGTTCCACCCCGTCCCATCCCCCTCCCCACCACTGTCCTTGTCCTTGGGCTGTGCATATATGCATATAAATTATTTGGTTACTCTCTCCCCCTCCACCCACCCGCCCTCCTCCATCCCTCTGACATTCGTCAGCCTGATATATGCTTCTTTGTCATTCCTAAATAAATTTTGAATAAATCGATGAATAATTTGGGGTGGAGCCCGGTATTGAGTGGCTCTGTCTGTGGGTCCTTTCATTCTTCCAAATATTAGTATTACCTACAGTACTAGGAATATCCTCAGCATTTTCTAACCCTTCCCATCCTCCCTGCACTCTCCGTTTCCATGAGTCTCACCTCTGGCAAAGACACCACTCCAAACCTCTCCCTACTTACACATGCAGTCAAATTGGGTACACTGCCTTTACCCCTTCTGCTGCCCCAACATATCTGGCTGGCTCTTTTAATATGTGTCTGTACCTCACCCAAAGTGTAAGCTCTATAAAGCAGGTAGAGACCTGGTCCTTAACCCTGCGGAGCCTACTCTAGTGCCCAGAACTAGCAGGTAGAGGGAGATGTTTTCTAGTGATAATGGTGATTTATGTGAATTAAGCAATCTTTCCATTTAGAAGACTGGATAAAGGGAAGTTGAAGAGCCAGCAACCCTCAAAGGAAGGGGCCTGAGAAATCCTGCAGGGAGAGAGGTCTTCTGGCCAAGGGGAAGTGAAGAAAAAGTTTATCTCATTCTAATCCCCAGTGAAAAACCTCTCAGCTAACTAAGATGTTTATGGAAGAAAAGCATATATGCCTTACTTCTCTTAGGAAAAATGAGGTCAGAAAATGTATCTCTTTTTACATGATAGGCAGCTTCTAAGGAGTATAATGCTTCTCAGCTAGATTGAACACTAAAGGCAAGGATTATTCTGGTGTTAATAAAGTTGATAGTTTGTGTTGCTGTTTCTCACATTAAAGTACTCCTTTGTCTTTTTGTTGTTTCAAATGCTTTTAAAACACTGTTCACATAATTATATAACTCATAAAACTGGTTATTGTGAAATTCAAGGATGATTTTGAAATTGAATCAGTTGATTATACACACTTTGGAAGGAATCTCACTGAGAATTTCTTAAAAGTGCATTGTATTGAAAACTACCAAGAAAAACTCAGGTTGCAATTGTGTTAAGACAGCTATCTCACCGTTCTCTTCCTACCTTCCAACAAAACTAAATACAAGCATAACTTCGTTGTTATGTTAACTTTTCCTTCCATAGGGTTGACGTAACTGGGCTGGTGGGGAATATCTGATCAGAGAGTCTGCAAAGAGAAGATACTGAGAACTGAAGTGAGGGCATTCCAGGAAATAACATAGACTGGGTCACCAACTGCTTTGAGTCTTTGGTGTTGTCAAGAAATTCTACTCTTTGCGGTCAGGGATTATCCATCCATCATTCATTTACTTAACAGAAACAGATATTTAGGAGTGCCTACTATGCGGCAGGCATGATTCCAGGTGCTGGGGATACAGCACTGAACAAAACAAAGTTCTGGCTTCATAGAACTCACATTCTAGTTGTAAGAAACAGACAATAAGCACATATCAGGATATTAAGAGGGATTGGAGGGGTGAAATTTTACATGGAAGGGACGACCGAAAAGGAGTAAGGGAGTAAGATATGAGGATACCTGGAGGAAGAGTATTCCAGAGGGAATAATTACAAAGGTCTTCTTCAGGCAGGAGACTGCTTGGTGTGTTCCAGGAATCATGAGAAAGTCAATGGCTGGAACTGAGTGAGTGAGGGAGAAAAGAGATGAAATTAAAGAGGTGACAGTCTCATGGCCCATTATTAGGACTTTGGCTTTCAGTCTGAATCAGCATGACCTGATTTGACTCTAGGCTGTAAAGGGTCACCCAGTCTGATACATAGAGATTGGATGGTAGGGTCATAGAAGCGTGAAAGTAGAGCTATTGTCCTAATCCAGGCTAGAGATGACCACAGTTTAGACCTGGGCAGTAGAGGTAGAGATGGGAGATGACTCAGGCCTGCAGCTATTTATTTACCCCGGTGCACCATTAGAAAAAGAGTTCCTAGCCTGGCAACTATAGTTAGTGATACTATATTGCATATTGGAAAGTTGCTAAGAGAGTAAATCTTATAAATTCTCAAAAAAAGAGAAAAGAGAAGAAGCAGAGAAATAAAGGGAAGGGAAGGGAAGGAAAAGAAAAAGAAAGGAAAGGAAAGGAAAAAGAAAAGGATGTCTCTTCTGGAGCTCAGTCTGGGCTTCAGTTCCACTTGCCCCCTCACCCAGCTGCCCTGGACAGGGAACAACCTGTCCAGGATTCCTCCTTGTGAGGGCATAAAAGTGAGTGAAGGTGAGTGAACCACTAAGCCTTGCCCCTCAAGCATTGCACACATTCACCCAAGTCTTTTCTGCTCTCATCCCGTGTGCAGGTTTGTCCTCACTTGAACTCTGATGGGCTGGAATGTTTTCTTCAGATTTTAGTACTTTAAGGGGCCGTTTTCACGTAAAACTGTTGGGGAGGGGACTATCCCCCCACCTTACCCCCCCTTCTTGAGTTCTTACAACTGAACTAATAATAAAATTAATATAAGGCCAGATTAACAGAAAGGAAAAAAACAATTTAAAATGTGGGCACAGGACCTGGCCAGGCATGGCTCAGCGGTTGAGCATCGACCTAGGATCTAGGCAATCAGGGTTCGATTCCCAGNNGGCACAGGAGATCATAGATGATGGTCAGAGAAATGATAGACCAGTCATCTTTTTATACTTTTTAGACAAACAATAAATGTGTGAAAAAGCAACAGGACAGGTTCAGGTGCTTGTTGGTGAAGAATCTAATCTAAATGAAGTTTGGGCTTGGGTAGTAAAATAATAACACGGTTTTTACCTTAAGCCTCTTCCCCCTCCCCCGCTCTGGGTTCCCTAACTAGCGATAAGGGTGTCTTTTCCTTTAGGAGCAAGAAGGGCTCTTTTCACAGGGGAGTCTGATCTGCTTTCATGGGGGCACAGAGCAGTCAGAATGTTCTTCTTGCACTGGCAGTTTCTCAAGTACCTTTAATTCAAAATAACCAATATGCTATTGTAGGATATTTTGCGGCAGCCTGTCTGGTCCCAGATAATACAATTGGAAAACTTTGGAAGCCTAAACTTGGTTTATTTGGGAATTTCAAGTGAGGCTGAATTTTTTATATTGGTGAATCCTCCCCAAGTTTATTAGAGCTCGGTTCGCTCAGACACTGGGCGTTCCCCTCCGCCCTGCTGCCCCACCGGAGACCCTGTGTGGGGCCGGCGCTGGTCCACACTGTTTCCCCCACGCCCCACCACGCCCCACCACGCCCC